ACGCCATTCTCCTGCCTCAGCCTCCCGAGTAGCTGGGACTACAGGCACCCGCTACCTCGCCCGGCTAGTTTTTTTGTATTTTTAGTAAAGACGGGGTTTCACCGTGTTAGCCAGGATGGTCTCGATCTCCTGACCTCGTGATCCACCCGCCTTGGCCTCCCAAAGTGCTGGGATTACAGGTTTGAGCCACCGTGCCCGGCCTAAACTAGATTCTTAAAGCTTAGAAGCCGGTTGGGATGTCTTCTTTCTTTCTCTAATGTATACTTCATGGCATCAACATCTAGGGCACGTATTGAAACTCAATAAATATTGTTTTGAATGGCTGAAGCATATATACAACAGGTCACCTACAAATCAAAATTATAAGTCAGACAGGCCACATTATAGATAACATTTTAAAATAATATTTCCCAGCAGATATATATACACATGCATACTCTTTCACTGCTGTGAAGAAACGAGTGCAAGGGGTAGTGGACTGTTTTGATTTACTAAATCAACATCTTTCTTTATTCTGAAACTAAGTATAGATAGATCAAAAATTTCCACATCATTTTCCAACAGTATGATTTGAAATGACAAAATATCACAAAGTAAATACATACATAACGGTCTAACCTCCATCTGAACCACCATTCATATACATTCCCTTTCAGTTCAAAACACTTGGACAATGGCCAAAGAGAAAAGATCTTCTCAAATGCACCCTGAGAAAAGGAATCCAGAAAATAAATTAAGATGGCACAAGTCAATATTTGCTTTGCAATTCTATTATAAATTATAGTTTTCTAAAGTTTGGATTACATAAGAGTAATTCACAATGTTAAAATTTTGTTTTATTTCATTTGAAAATATCACTTCATTTGAAATGTATTTCAAATGAAATTTTTAAAATTTGAAAATAAATTTATCTTTCAATGACCAAGAAAGATGACTTAAAACTTGGTAAACTTATTTTCATTTCACATGAAAGGCTACTGAGAGCGTAAAATTTTCTTAAGCCCCCAAATCAGAAAACCTGGTAATTAGAAAATCATTCTATATAAGGTTTTTAATCTCACAAACAAAATGATAGTATTTACTAATCAAACAGAAAAATACAAAATATTTCAGCCAATGTGGTATCAATATCCCAAATAACAACTGTTAAAGTTAAAATATAGTTATCATTCTCCAAATGTCCTCAATAATCTATAATTAACTATTTGAGTTAAAAGAGTCCTCTGAATTAGTCACCTTACTCAATCAACCATACCCAAATGCCATTACCAGCCTTTGAAACAAAGTTTACAGTTTTACTCTGGTAAAGTTAGTGAATAGTACCCTCTTATGAATCTGACAGGTTGGAAAATCGGGGAATGAAGGGGCAGAAGTCTTGGGTACATTCCTGAACATTAACGAAGTCTTTCAAAGAAGAGAACAAAACCCTCAATTTTCAGAATAATCACAATGAACTCTCTATCAAGGAAAGCTCCATTATTAGACCTAATGCTACGGCATAAAAAGTGTAACATCATGATTTTTAAAGAGGCTATTAAAAAACAAAGAAAAAAGATGAAAATAATATTGTATTTTAGATAATGTTGAGTCTTTAGGTCAGAAGAACTTTATAATATTATTTTAATAAAATGCAACCGTCTCCATTTAGCCACAGAATTTAAAATGCACATACCATATTAAAAATAAGTTCTATCAAAATCTATGTCTCAGAAAATTAAGGATTTTTTTTCTTTTTTTTTTTTTT